TTAAACGTGTTACAATATTCAGGTAACTGGTGCAGCACTAAGTTTCTGCACAGAGATCAGTGAAACAAAAACAAGTGCAGTGCCTTATTCAAAGAACTGACCGCACAGAATAATCAAAAAAGGGCCACATTGCTCCATGTTCCTGTCCAACCACGTAATATCATTCAAATCGTTGTTACTTGTTGTTGGAGTAAATTTTTATGGAACTTGTGTTTTTTGTGTTGCCATAATTCAAAAACTAGTAAAACATAACATTAATTAATGAATATAACAAGATGTGATATTGCCCACAATAAATACAGAGGAGCAGGATTCAAACCTTCACTAGACAGACAGACAGATACTTCGACACATACAAAGCACTGATACAAACTAAATAAGGAATAAAAACATATGAAAAAAAAAACAGCAGCTAGTCAAGATACCAGAACAACTACAGAGAACTGTCACTATCATAAAAAACGTACAAAATGCCGCTGTGTATCAAACTCGGGCTCCACCATAACAGGCAGCCTCATTACAAATCTAGCAACAAATTCAGCCTGATTATGGAGGGCAGGTGCTTTTAGAGAAACACATTCAAACTATGTTTTTAATACTAAGTTTTAATTACAATTACAGCACCAATATCTCTTCTCTGAGGCGCCTACTCAGCATGACCTTTGACCTCGCTATGGTGGTCTATAATACACCACATACAAAAACATGAATATTAAAAGATTTATTAACAAACTATTTTTCAACTTTGATATTTTCTTATGCATTCTGGCACCTTATTTACATTAAAAGTACAAACAAATTGGATTGGGGATTTCCATTCTTAACAAGTGTGTGTGTGAGTGCGTGGTTGTGTAATGTGGTAAGACTGAGGGAATATAGCTGCACATGAAAGCTAATTAGATCATTTAAAACTGAGAGAAAGGTGAAACTCCCAAGTACTTCTCTTGATAAGACAAAAACAAATCAATAAAATCACAAATTAAGTCTTTGCATTTTTTGCAAAATATTTATTTAATTTATCTTATACACAGTTATAACAGTTCACAAAATGCAGACTGAAATACAAGCTGTACTTCAAGATAATTGAAATATCAGTTGCACTCCAACTTCCCTATACAGCCCAACTTTTCAATTAAAAAACATATTTTCCCTGTTTCTACAAATAAACTGCATTTGATCTTTGAATGTATTTATATAAACACCAAGGCACTTTGTCCATTCCAGAAAAAAAATAATCTAGTTTTTAATACACTGGCTTAATGGCAGATATCCCTTTCCACAGACAGAAACATATGTTCACAGTTACTGAGCTTTTGATACAGTACATGGATGATAATCCAGTATGCTGCCTCCAGCCTCACCAGCACCACAAATACTCCCAGAACATCTGCCCCTTTTTCACATGCGCGTCACTCCCTAAATGTCATGGAAAGCTGACATATTGGGGTGTCGGGCGTGAATATAAAGCAGTCACATCAACAAATACACGTGGCTTTTGTTTTTGGTTCAAATAGTTAGCAGGATCTGAGATCCCATTTCAGCTATAACCGTGTGAACAGGTGGCTGGTTTTCAGATAGATTGGTACATGTGGAAAATTTCCTTATGAACCGCTGCACTTACATGGATGGAAGTAAATACATCAAAATAAAAATGTGGGACGATATCAGGCGATTGTGTTTCACTACTGTTCAGTACTGCGGGGTAACGTGCAGAGGCCTGGGTCAAAAGGTGGAATGTGGAATGCCCTCCAAGTGCTTTCCAGTTAGAGGCGTGCTTCCTGGTTCTTTCATGCAGTGCGGGGAACACACATTCTCTCTACAGAATATTATTTTGCTGAAGTGGTTTGGCCAGTTTTAGGTGCAACATATTTCTATGTCACATCTAACCATTACAGTCATTTTATCCAAAGCGACTTACAATTCAGAGTCTGTGACATTTCTACACCGTAGGCACAGCTACGGGAGCAATTTTGGGGTTAAGTGTCTTGCTCAAGAACACTCTGCTATGCGAATAGCAGAGTCGGAGCTGGGGATTGAACCGCCAACCCTCTGATTGAAAGACGGCCCTGCTACCCACTTAGCCACAGTCACCCCGTTTTAACCAATAAAACTGAAGCGGGCGTGCAACGTCTGAGATCTGTATTTTGAATCCTAGTATTCACCCGCACCATAAGGTTGCTATCTATCTATAATTTTGTGTCAACACTGTGATTTTACCATGTTGCTCTATTCGATACACGCAACGTCTACAGTTTTGCATGTCTGTCCTGAGAGAGGGATCCCTCCTCGCTTGCTCCTCCTGAGGTTTCTGCCATTTTCCCCCCCATTAAAGTTTGATTTTTAAGATGGATTGTAAAGACCCTGGAGGCAAATTTGTGAAGTGTGATATCAGGCTATAAATATATTAAGTTACGTACTGATACCAGTAGAGTATATTTCCATGTTGTGATTCCTGTGGTTGCACCGTCACACAATCAAGCCACACTAAACGCGTTGGGTGTGCCTCCTCCGTTGTTGTTCGTGCAAAACACCGAGCTAAAAGTACACGTTTGTGAGCCTGTGGGTGTGAGTCATTTTGTTTTCAAAACAGATCAGGATAGATTCTAAAACTTGCAAATTGTTAGAAACATCCGAGTTCGCACTGCATCCAGTGAAAGATAGAAATCTGCTAATTCTTTGGAAACAAGCAACATAAAGTTCATTCTCATTTTACAGCAGCAGTTTATATAAATACATACATACATTATTTGCTGACCCATATACCACATTTGAAAGTGTTCGGCATTTCGGCCGTTGTCTTCTTTTTCACCAAAAAGGTTTACTAAATAACTTTCAAGAATTGAAAACGCACTGTGAAACTCCCAGACCGGACAACGCAGTGGTAAGGGACCTGTCAATCACAAGGTAGCCCCGCCCTACAGCATACTCTGCTTTATTGTCTATTTTACTCTAAATGGAGCATAATTTACAAAATGAACATCATGTTGTATTAAAAAAGACTTGAAACTAGCGATTGAGACTATAAACTCATGTTTACAATGTTTACTGAGGTAATAAATTAAGTGAGAAGTAGAGTCATTTTCTCATAGAGTTCTATACAATCTGACTTCCTTTTACAACCTGAGGAGTCGCCCCCTGATGGCCATTAGAAAGAATGCAGGTTTAAGGCACTTTCTGCATTGGCTTCAATTTTCAGAACAGGAGGTTTCTGCCTGATTACCACAGGATGAATATTCTTGTGTATATTGTTACAGTGTATCGTTAGTTCTTTGGAGAAACAAACCTTGCCCAACCTTCACTTTTTCAATCTAGTGAGACAGTGAGCAATTTAGAATTGCTTTCTCTATGTGCCAGTTTCCATATTTTAAATTGGTCAGAGCTTTTTGTAGTCACAGTTTTCATGAAATTCTTGTGCAGTTATTACAAAGACATTAATAGACACTGAACAACATTTCTGTACGGAATTGGCACACAACTTGTGGTTCATGAATAACATAATCAGAACACGTGCTACCATACTTGTTTCAGTAGAAGTAATTTATATACATATTAATACATTTAAAATACACTCGAAGTAGAATGCTATAACATTGACATCTCAGTGCTTTTACCACACAATAGACTAAATTAGTAGCAGTCTCTTGACTCGCAAGTGAATGTACTTGAATGTAGGTGCTGGTGCTCTGTGTGTGTGTGTCACCAGTGTAGGTGTAAGTGGGGGTGTTGGTTTAATTGACATCGTAATTCCTCTTCGGTTGGCTCCTGGATCTGCTCTCTGCAGAGAAAGAGGGCAAGTCATGGAAAAAGGAATGATTGGACAATCAGTTAGCTGGGATTTTTTTAAAGGTATATGACTCACAACAAACCGGCAGAGTCCACCTACCTGAACATGAGCTGAACAGAGGTTTCATATCTGATCCTCTCCACATCTGTAATAGAGCAGCTGTGACTCCGGTCCCACTTATAGATGAAGTTCTGTCAGAAAACATTGGCATTGTTAGCACATTTGTTATGTAGTTCATATTAAAAGAGAAGGCTGGCATTATTACAGATTTTGCTTCAACAAGTCACATAAACCAACACTCGCTGATTGGATTGGATTTTGATATAAAAAAAAAGTAAAATAAATTGACTTTATTTTGTAAATTTCTTTGCATACGTTGTTAAATAGGTGCACAATATGACCGGGGATGTGATCTAAAAGGGTTAAAAAAGGCATCTTTTACTTCAGTTACTGCTAATGCACACGCAACATTTCCTACTGCTGCAGCTTCACACTGAAAGCATTGAACTGGCAAAACACAAGTTGACTTTGATTATAAAAAAGTCACTGGGAACGCAAAGCGTTTGTCAGTGAACTCGACACTGACTGCCATCGCTCATCAAAAATTTTGACAGCGAATCAGCTTGAAATATTGCAGGGAGTAACAGAACAAGAAGGAGCAGCCACAGATATAGAAAAAGGCCAATTATTGCTCGACTTCTTTATTAAACGACAATACTTTGTTTTATTTTGGAGCCTCCAGTATTCTGAGACCTGTAGTATTAAACTGCATTAGAAGTTACCACCAGTGAATAAGGTCTTCTTCTGTGTTGTTGCGCGTTATTCAAGTTATGAATGAATGAATGTATGTATGTATGCATCCGTCTGAGGGAACTGACCTCTAAAATGACCGCCACAAACAAGTTGACCCACATGACAGAGGAGATGAGCCACCAACACACGAAGTAGATCTTCGACCACCTGGGAAAAAATAAAACGCGCTCTTCAGCATCGTCATCACCCGGCACCACCGTCACCAGCGTCAGCTGCTGTGCCTGTCAAATGATTTCTTACTCTGTGGTGTGTCTGCTGTATGCTTCCAGGAAGGCCTGCCAGTTGTTGACTATCATGACATTGTACAGCAACATGATGGCTGCCTGAGAGAGAGAGAGAGAGAGGGAGGGAAAGCTACTCTTCTTTCACTCTGCTGCACTTTTGTTCGCTGTATATCATAGCGGTCTTCAGCGGCGCAAAATGATTAAATCACTGTCCCTAACCCATCACTAAACGACGATCAGTAAACCATCATTGACAGCGATAGCGCATCATCCGCAAATGTCAAACAGGTAAATAATTATGTTATAAAGTGCCACACAATAAGGAATAAATATGTTTCTATAACTCGCAATTGAATATTGAAATTATGCTCAATTAAACGTGTTACAATATTCAGGTAACTGGTGCAGCACTAAGTTTCT